TTAGCCCCCTGCTGAAACAGGAGATCCTATACCATTCCAGGCAAAGGGTTGTCCAATTTCTTCTGAAAAACTTCCCATCTTGGAGCACCCACAAGTTCTGAAAGCAAGCCTTCCCACTGATTGTCCTCAATCTGAATGCATATTACTGCAGCTGACATTTGTATCAACATATAAATCTCTTGTTTCAAAAAATGGAGGAATTATTGAAGGAACTATATGAAGAGATAACAAAAGTTCTTGAATTCTCTACAAAGTGAGAAATCTATTGTGGCACAAAGGGTTTTTTTTCCCCCTTTCCTGAAATCAGGGATCCCTTAGGCAAATGCATTGACATGGATTCAGTCAATGCTAGCAATACTGAAAGGATTCCAGATTGCTCCCAAAGTGCCTCTTACTCACAAAATACTGTAAAAACCAACTCTTGGCATTTAAGACCCCATGCACCAGAGGTCCCAAATTTAGTTGTATTAACAGGTGAGCCAGGGAAAGGTCTGCTGTGACCAATTAATCGCTTCCTTTGGGCTTTTCCTTTGGGGATGCCTTGAACGAATACTTTCAGCTGTCATTTTTGGAGTGACATGCGCTAAGCCAGCTGGAAAACTGCCCTCCAGTAGTATTGTTACAACTCAGAATTTGTGCAAATCCTTTAGCAAACACCTTCTCATATGAGGGCATGAATGAAGCTGAAGGACTCATTCCTTGCTTCTCATAGTCAACAGAGGAAGAGGTCAGGTTGGCTTGAAAGCAGGAAGAGATTGCCTGTCTTCCAGCCAAATCCAGCCTCCAAAATGATCCAGGTTCTCTTGGTAACCATATGCTTAGCAGTCTTTCCTTATCAAGGTAAGATGTTCTCTTTGGTTCCCTTGTTCAGATTCTTACTGCTAAAAGACTATTGCACTCAACAGATTGCTATGTTGTTGGTTTTGTTTGGGGTATTATTTTTGACAATTAACCAAAATTTGCTCCACTTCAGTTTCTACAGATTTAGCAAACAAATGCTGTTAAGGATCGCATTTGTTCTAAAGTTACATAAATGGTTTCTTGGTATTTGCTTAAATTTTGTCAAGCCTAGCAGATCCTAAGAAAAAAAGTTCTAAGATCTTCTGAAGAAAAGCATGTTCAAGTTTTTCAGTGATGTGAGTTTTTTTAAAAAAGGATTAGAAGACTGAAGAGGACAGAGAGAGACAGAGTTTGTGGCAAGAAAATTTCAGAAAGCAAAATGTTAAAGAAAAATAAAGTGTTTTCGGTTTTAATTTTCTTTCAATAGATCAATTAGACATCCTATAATTAAACATGCGTAATATTCAGACAAACAAAAGCTAGTGCTATTGTGGTTGCAGAGAATCTTCAAACTGTACTTAACATAATATGACATTAACTTTTCTGAATGCAAAATTTTGAATTATCTTAAATTATTTTTTCCCTCCTTTCCTTTTACTCTGCAGAAAACCAGGGAGGTTCCCTTCTGAAATTCTTCCCAAGTTCTCCTTCCTTCTGTGGGCTGAGATACTTTTTCCATGCCAGTTGACCAGTCTATGGCTCTTCTTCCTGTCGCTAAAGTCATTCCCACATATCATTACAAATAACGATAATTGATTCAGAAGTTGCCAAACACAATTAAGGGTTAGAGACTCACTGTGGTAGCCCTTTTTGTTTTTGTTTTGTTTTAAATAGCAATGAAAGATGGGCTTGCCCTTACCAGAAGTAATTTATGGAGAACAATATAGGAAAGAAGAAAGGGAGATGGAAGGGAAATTGCTGCTTATTCTGTGCTCTAAGCAAGAGAGGAATAGTAAGCTTGCTTGCTAGTAGATGGAGTTGAACGCTTCCCATGATTCTGGGAGCATCAGGTACAAATGCTGGTTTCT